ACCAGATCAAAGCCTTTTTTAAAGTCGAGGTATATGACGTTGATCTTTTCCCCTTTGTGCAGGGGAAGAGATCGACGTGTTTTCTTTCTGGTTGCATTTTAGAGGTGGAGAGGCATGGTTTTGTGTGTGTGTGTATCCTTTGTACACTTGGTGATTGACTTTGAAGTGATACAGGGATCCTTTGTATGGAAGGAGCTGTGTTAATGTATTATGGACTTCAAGATGGTATTAGCCAAAGTGATCTGAGCCTTTAAAACTGGCTTGATGTAGTTCAAGAATCATGACAAGGTTTCCGGTTAGCTTTTATTACTTCCCACCCAATTAGCCTACTCTTACAATTGATAGATTTAAAGGTGATTGCCCACCCACCTAAAATAACACTCCAATGTGGTAGGCATCATTAGACTGGGCTGTAAAATGGTTTGTTACCTTCTTGTTACCCTACTGGGCTGACTGTAATTCTGAAGTGGAAAATAGGTGTCCTGCAGTAAAGTATATTTTAAAAACTAGGTAAAGGAAATATCACAGATTATATTTGGGAGCTAAAGTCACCCGGGGAAGGTATCACTCATGCAGCCAAAGTTGTGATCATCTCTGTAGTGTCATTCCCCCGTGAAAAAGTGAGATTCTTGAAAACGGTTTAAAACTTAATCACTGAACCTTGATAAAAGAACTGTCTTCATGATTGCCTCCTACCTGGGTGAGAGAGACGTTCATTTAGAACGATGGCAGATTTCCCAAAGGGTAAGCACTTTGTCTCTGTGCCACATAGACAAATCTAGCACTGCCGGGAGAATTAATGAAAGGTGCCCCTTCTATTAGTCATTTTCAGTTCATTGAGAATAGCAGGATATTGATGCCATAGTACATGACATAAAGCAGTTCATAACTTTGGAGTATGATATTTCATGGGTTTTTATTTGAATTCCAGGCAACATATAATTCTCCAGTGGGGATTCCCAGAACCTGCATTGCCTTTGTAACTTAGGAGTGCACTCCCAGTCATTTGTCAAGTTCTCCAAGTGACCTGGTGAACCGCCAGAGTGATGTCTTGTGCAAAGTGGAACAGTGTGTATTCATGCCTCATGAAAGACTGTCCCAGCAGTCTCACATTCAGTCATAGCAACGAATCTTCAAGGAGACTGTTCCTGTGAGATCCCCAAACTAGCCAGTTGTTCTGCAGCACCACGGAGAGTGCACTGGGTGTTCCTCAGTCACACGCGAGGCTAGCTAATGTCCTTGAGGTCTCCTTTAAGTAGTCGAGCTAGCATGCAGGTTTCCTTCTATGGCTTCCAACTCTTTCTACCGGTAGACCACCATCTGCAGGGGGAGCAAAGTAGATGCTCAAGTGTAGAAGCCTTGTCAGTAGCAACAGACCACCTGGTGTTTTAGACCTGCTCTGAGAAGGGTTAAGGCATGTCTGCACAGATTGCAAGCCGTGGTGGGGAGTGAGCATCCATGCATGCCCACTCTGTGTAAGCTAGACCTGAAAAAAGATGCCGTGTAGCTGCTCTCATTTTGGGCTGATGTCGGGGCAGTAAGAACACCCCAGATGGAGAGCTCTTGGTGTCTACCCACTGCCGCTCTGGGGCCACTACTTTGCTTCCATTTGGGGGTGTAGCTTGTGCAGAAGAGGTATGTTGTGTTTTGCTGTGGCCCTTCCTAGCATGATCTGGAGGAAGTGTTGACATGACCTTGGCTAAGAGGGTGCTGAATACCTCAGTGGCCCCACCAGCACCTTTGTCAGGCCTGCTCTGAATAGGGCTATACCCTAGGAGCAACAATGAAAAACAGGATGGCAGTGGAAAAACATGCAAAGCTCAGGATAGGCCCCTTCTGTACTGCACTCATTTTAAGAGCTGTGTGTCAGACAGTCCCACATTACCTGTTTCCAGATCTAACCACAGGAGCTAGTTTCCATTTGAGGACATGGGGAAATAGGCTCAGGAAATAGCTTTCGATAGAGGTCGTACTAGTCATCAGAGAATCCAAACTTCCTGCGGCTGTGATTGCAGCTGGGGACACTGGGATCAGGAATCAGCTGCTCTGTCATTTCAGCCCGAATGTCTAGTTCATCACTTTGCCAACTGCCATTTTGGTGGCTTGTTGTTATGAGGATTCATGGCCACTTCAGTTTGTTTCCAGTAAATGCTCCACGGGACTCTGAGCTGCATACTGTCAGCTCTGGAGAAATCTGAAAGGAGCCTCCTTTGTGGGATTTTGGACTCAGGAAGCTCTAGGGGCAGTGTAGTAGCAAGGGGACAGGTGCATAAAACTGCATCACTCCACTTGCTGCTCCAGCAAATGTCCAGGCCTGAAGCATTTCTCAGCAGTGCCTTTATCAAGGAGGCTGGCTGTGTAACAGGACCTCTGAGAAGATGGTCACTGGCATGGAGGTTTGAAAGGGGAGCTGCATTTAGTGGTCAAGAGGAATGGTAGGGGGTGACCTTCTGCTGAGGGACTCTCTTCAGAGGGCATTTTTAAGCATGCACTGCATTCCCTTGTATTGCCAGAGAGCAGTGTCACTTTTGTTAGCCACAACTGGCAGGACTGGGACTCTGACTTGCCTTTACTTTTTATCATTGTTATATGACAATCCTCATCATTATCATTGCTCCTGGAAGTTTACAGAGCTCAGGAAGCAGCCACAGTGCTGTACATCAGGGACATCAAATATACTGTAGGCCCCAGGCCAGATCTGCAGCATAGCAGCTCCTCACAGGTTTCATAGTTTCTAGGGTCAGAAGGGACCTAAGTAGATCATCTAGTCTGACCCCCTGCCATGGCAGGAAAGAGTACTGGGGTCAAACAACCCCAGCAAGGTGTTCATCTAACCTCCTCTTAAAGACCCCCAGGGTAGGGGCCAGCACCACTTCTCTTGGAAGTTGGTTCCAGACTGTAGCCACCCTGACTGTGAAGTAGCACCTCCTGATATCTAGCCTAGGTTGGATCTGGCCCACAGCACAGGACGGAGGCAGCAGCAGCCACCAGGGTGGCAGTAGGGCAGGTAGCCACAAGCCAGGCAGCTGGTTGCTGTGGTGGGGGCTAGGCAGCTGCAAGGCAACTGAGGGCTGTGTCGCACTCCTTGCTTGCTCCCTGCCAATGCTGGCCATGTCCACTGGGTCTCCAGGATGCTGTGGTAGGCTCTGCCCATACCCCCAACTTGCGGTAGCCCTGCAGGTTGGATGCAGCAGCTCCATGGGTCAGATCCAGCCTGCAGGCCATGTTTGATCCCCCTGCGGTGACGCAGTGGAACGTGACACCTTTCCTGCTCTATGGCTTTTCTGACCTTGGGGCTAAATGGTGTCCTGGCTTCGCTGTGGAGCACCACGCATGTGTGCAGAGCTCCCCTGGCTGAACAGGCTCATTCAAGGCATTTTTGCCTTGCAGGGCAGACACAGGCAGAGTGCCTGAGGTAATGCCTAGAGGAGTACAATGTATAGTGCTCCTAAAATCAGCTGGGGAGAGATGCAGCATACAGTTCATTCCAGGCACAGAACTCGGCGTGTGTGTGTGTGTGTATGGGGAGAGGGGGGTCTTAGCACTGGATTTATGACCCAGATACCTTGCTCTGTGGAGACTTGAACCCTCAGACCAACCATGGCCTCTCCATTTGATAATAGGCAAATTTTATTGATACACAGCGATTGCAAATAAGAATAATGCAAACAATTCTATACCTACCAGTCCTAGAGCTGCACAGGCTCAAGGTACATCCGGCCAGTACACGAGCTTCACTCTGGGGTTCTCTCTTGGATGTCGGATGTCAGCAGCCTGGAGGTTGGAGGCTGAGGGCCCCCTTGTCCCCTCCCCCCCATTGGGGTGAGTGAGACAGGCTGGTGGTATGCCCATAGTGGCCTTGGGTTTCCCTCTTGGGAACCCATTGCTGCTCTGAAATCCCTTCTTTTGTATTATATTCTCCTCCTGATGACTCTTCACCACTGGCCATTGCTGATTGGTGTCTGTGATCATCATACTGTCCACGTTCTGTCCTGTCAGCATATTCCTTTGTTTCACAAACCATCATATGCACACGTCCTAATTTGGGCTTTCCCGGTCTTCTCTTAATCTGTTCCCCAAAACTGGAAATCCCAAGGGCCCTGCAGTTGGGCACTGTGACCTGGTCAACGCATCAGAGTCCTTTATCTTGTGTTATGGACAGTGTGGTACACCCCTGCAATTTCCCAGCCCGTGTGTCTGCTGCTTGCCTGTGTCAGACACAGTGGACCTTGAGGAAACTGTCAGAAACAGGCTTTTAGAAATCAATTAACCCCTGCTGTTGCGCTGGACCACTCTTTTAATACATATTTATTTTACCTACAAGCCAGTTCCCAAAAGCAAACCTCTAAATACCATTTTCTAGCCATTGTGAGGGTGGGGAGGGTGTATCAGACTTGGACTTTGCCCCCTTCACTGCTCAGGGACTGTAGGTCAGCATTCATCATCCTGCTGTAATCCTGCAGAGCTGGGTAAGGAAAAGCTCACCACACTGTGCACCCGGGCCAGGCCAGCAGGAATGGAGCTCTAGGCCTACACCCAATGTGGAAAGGCATTTGCAGGCACCAAGAGGAGCTTAACACCTTCCAGAGAAAAGAGAAGCCCTAAATGAGAGCATACGATAGAAGCAAGTCGCCACATTGCATGGAGAAGTTGACATCATCTCAGTGCTCAGGTTTCCCATTGCAGGGGAAAAAGCCAACGTTGGAGTTATTATCCTTTATCTTCCTCTCTTCATCTTTCTCTCCAAGGCAGGGTGAATAATATGGAAAATGCCAATTCTTCTCTTCCCAAGTTGAATTGTTCAGAAAAAGTTTCTCTTGCTGGTTTGCTGCATTCTGTCTACTTCATAAACGAGAAAGCATTAAATCTAATGAAAACATGTTATCAACCCGTCAAGTTAATTAGTGTCTATTTGTTAACACCGTCATTATCATTTGTAGCTAATTAATATAACTGAGGTATCATGATTGCAGTTGATATGTTTTGTCTTTTTTTTTCAGTGAGGAGCTGGATGGAAAAGCTGAAAGATAAGGTAGGAAGCACTTTAATGCTTTTCTCAATTTATTTTAATGACAGAAACATTTTGACTTTCAGGAAAAAAAAAGAGCTTGGGGGTGGTGAAATTGTGGTTCATTATCTCTGGTGTGACAATCCAAGAAAAGGTTTGAGGCTTTTCCTAGGTATCTAACAATAGAAAAAGAAAGCAGAATTTTTCTAGGGAAAGGGCCAATAATGCTTGTTTGGGAATTTCTACTGTAGTATTGTTCAACTCAGCAGAGGTGCATTGTCACTGAGCAGAGTGACAGAGAATGGCAAAGCTATGGAGTACTGTCTTGACATGATAGTGCAGGGTTCATCAACTTTTAAGAACAGCAGGATGCAGCTTTTGACCTGGCCACAGCTGCAGGTGGCCAGTCCCTTGCTGCTGCTCCATCGTTCCCTGCTCCCTTGCTGTCTCTCACATCCCTTCACAGTCATCATTTTCTATTGCCATCAACCGCTTCAGATTCTGTGGCCAACAGCCATGCTGAGGGACATGTTTGGTGGCAACAGCAGAAAGTAGGTAGGGCTGGGGCATCAGCTGTGTGAACAAGAGGTGGAGCATGGCACGTCGGGTTGAGCAGCACGCAGCAGGCCAAAAGATCCCCAGGGGCACCCATCTGCACCCTCTGCCAGCACATGCCACTAATTCTCCCAGCCACTGGGGGCTGGATTGAAAATCTTAACAGAGTGGATCCAGCCCATGGGCCATATGTTTCTGAGCCTAAGCTTATGTTTTATGTTGTGACTGAGGTTGTGTCAGAAAAATGCAGCGAGACAGATTCTGCTCTCGTTTACACTGTGCAGTCAATCTACTGGGGTAGAACTGGGCCCGGAGTCGCTGTGTAATCATGCAGCATGGCTGCCATGTCTGTTGCACTTCTGCGGTGCTCCCAGATTGTTGCTCTCTGTCTCCACAAAGCAGGTTGAAGCACGTCGGCTTGATTGGCTTGTAGGGGAATTCCTTGGAGAATAGGAGTCTCCCAGATCAGTAGTGCTGGTAGTGCCAGACCGCTGTCAGCTCCTGGGCCCTGAGGCTAGACAGAGGGTAAGGGAGAATCAGGAACACAGCTAGGGGAAAGGGAGTGTGGCTACAGCACCAGTGTCTGATAGCACTTGCTGGCAGCAGCGAGAGTTCCTTGTGCCCAGCATGAATTAGAGTAGGCCTGATGCTGCTCTCAGTTGCTCAGTGGGACTGGGCAAATGACTGTCCCCCTGCTCTCACATACCAAAGAGTAAATAGCATTTCTTTCCTATGCTTTTATTCTCTGAATATATGAAGAGAATGCGGGAGGGACAGAGCACTCCTCCCCTTCTCGCTTGCTGCAGTGGTCAAGGGATCTTTCCTTCTCTGTGTCAACTCCACGGAGGAACGGGAAGGGATCTCTGGGGCTCTGCTCTGGAACACTTCTCGCACCATGTTCAGCAGGCGTGGCCAGCCAGGGCACATATGCCACAAGTAGCACAGACAGCCACTGTGTGTGGCACGCAGCAGACTGGGGGAGGACAGGCAGCACAGTAATGTGGCAGGAAGCAGAGCAGCAGAGGGGACAGGGGAAGGGGACTGGAGTAGCATTGGAGGAGGGGGTCAATTTTGTGTTACACCAGCCAAAAAGGTCAGCTCTGACCCATGTACAGCATCACTAGGAGCATGCCTGGGACTAGAGCTCTCTTTGCTGTAGCTGTAATCCACTCAGTGCAGCCATACTCAGCTGGAAAGCGTGGGATGAGGGGACTGTTGCAGAACCAGAGTTTAATGCCTGCCCCTGAACTAATCCAGCATATTCCCTTTGCATTGCTTACATCCCTGTTCCACAGTCATGCTCTGATGGCCTTCTTTACTTGCTCCACACCTCCTCTTCCAGTCCTAAAGGGGCCTGGGAATCCCTCTCACATCAAAGTCCAGGTGGCTGTCTGTGTCCCACGCAATTGCTCCTGCTGCCACATCCAAGAGGAGCTGCAAGAGTAGAGAGGCAGTGTGACAAATAAAAAGATAATGCAATGCAGATTCTTCCATTTTTTTCACCAGACAGTTATATGTGGACCCAGGAAGGCTTGTTACACCAGCTGCACCGTGGGACTCTTACAGCCTCTGGGATGTTGCTGCAAATATTGACATTTCTCAAGCCCTGTGAAATTCAAATTGTCATGTCATCACTAACAAAGACACTGAGACCAAGGCAGTGTAAATTAGGTGATAGTTTTGCTTTTAGGCACAGCTTTTTGTTTGACAGGGCTTTTGGCAGGCCCGAACAAATGTTCTCCTGTTCTGAAGCAGAGGAGAGGAAGAGTCATTGGTCCCTGAGCATGAGCAGTTCAAATTGCCCATCACCCTCCTGCTCATAGGTGCATCAATTCTGGTGCAGGAGAAGGGTCAAGGTAGTTGCTTTCCTAAACTTGGAGGTAGAAGGGAAGCAAGGTGAGCTTCTGCCGGTCCTGTGTTGAGTTGTTTTTCTGCCTGCATTAGGGAGCAATGGTCTGTGTTTCTTTAGTCTCCTGGCCTGGGACTCAGCTGGTTTGTCCTCAGAGAGGGCCTCAAAGGCAGAGAAAATGATTTTCAAGATGAAGGGAAAAAGCAGATACCAACCAAGAGAGTGCCCTGAATGAGCAAGATGTGTGCACGAATGTGTCACCTGCTAATGTCAGAGTTGTCCCAGGCCTCCTCTGCATGCATTGGGTGTCATCTTCTGTCTTCTTCAAGTCTTTGTCTCTCTCACCGCTCCCACCTGGCATGCCCCTCCTCCTCAGTCTTTTCCCGTCTGTGTTACTAAAGCAGGCGCACTTTCCAATTTCAGGCCAGAATTGCTCTTTGCCAGAGTGACTGAGCCTGTCCTGGGCAGGGTGATGGGTAGCAGGTTGCCTCACTGTGCCCAGATCAGACAGACAACATTGCGACCGGGCTTCTAGTACCAAAATCTGCTAGCATCTTCCTTACAGAGCAGGTCCCCTCAGACTTGTACATCTTTCAGGGAATGAGAACTGCATGGTGGCCAATTTTTCACGCTCTCGTTACTT